TTTACTACAAATACTCTTGAACGTGTAGGATGAACAGAAAACCTAATTTTATAAAATAGTTTTCCCAGTTGATATCTCAACAAAATATTACTGGTTCGCAATGATACTGCTTTTTTGAGTTAATCTTTGATAGATAATAGGTGGACTGCTGTCCTCTATGGCAGCATTGGCAAGCAGGTAAGGTAGGATTCTTAAGATAAGTAAAAGAACTGTAATCAATTTGAAATCCTTGGATAACAGAAGCATTGGGAACAATTTCATATCTTTTCTACTGTCTACTTCTCTCCCTTACAAAATGCTGCAAACTTTTCATTTTTCTTGTAAAACTAAGCTAAGCAAGTACTCTTTAATCTTTGCAGTTCTTTCTTGCCTGGGGGTTTAGTCTGATTTGGAATCTCCTCTCTTTTCCAATAAAATGCCACGTTCTACATTGCAGAATAACTTTATATTATAGAACAACTCAAGGAACACTTCAGCCTGACTTCTGCATATGAAGGGTGGTAGTTGGTTTGGCATTTCTCAGGTAAACCCTGTCAAATAATACAAAAATGTCAAAAAATGACATCCTTTGTGGTCTTATTTTGGGAATGCTGTCTACATTGCAGAGACAAACAGTGCCTGTCTAGGTTGCAAAGACAAACGAGCAAAGCAGTTGCTTTTGCTCTTGGAATACCATATAGAAACCCCTTGCATATCACACCGAAAAGATGTTATTTTTGTTCTCATGGGGTAAATATATGTCCTATATCCAGTCTGAACATCTTGCAATTTGACTGTTTTCTGTATTGCCACTCCCTCAGTGTGGTGTCACCTGCAAACTTGAGAGTGTGCATCATCACCTCATCCTGGTCCTTGATAAAGATGTCAAAGAAGATCTTAAAATCAAGGTTGTGTTAAGCAGAGCTTAACCTTCCTATTTCTCTACCTTCTCCTAGGGCAAATCCGAGTCTCCTTTGGCACTTACTCAAATGACCCCTTCTAGATTTATACCAGCATTTCAGTAAGCTCTACATTTCTGATAATGGTATGATTGGGTTTCAAGAACACTTGAAGGGAAAAAAAGTCCCTTTTTTAGTTCAAGATATAAAGTAAGACGACAGGATCATATTATTAATAATAGCATGCTTCCAGAGCAGAGAGTTACTTGGATTTAGAAAAACGTTGTCCTTTGGGAGAAGTGTTTGTAAGAGTTCCCCATAATGTGTTGCTGTGTTTATCTGAAATAAATGTGAGCCTCCACACATCCATTGACATGCACTTATGTGCAGAAGTTAGACCTGTAAGTAAATCACAGCAATAATTTTGCTTTCAGCACTTGATTCAGAAGTTACCAGATGCAAAAGCATGTTCTGGCAGCAGTTCTGAGAGCTGCTCTGGGTTGATTCAGTGTTGTCAGGAGTAAACATACCACAGATTATCAGATATAGCCCATTAAAATTCTCTTCAATGGAAAAGAAATCTTTTTCAAAATGAGAAGTACTTTATTAAGCCAATGTTTTCCATGCCATAGTTCTCTCAGTTTATTAAATCTAAGAGTTTTTATTACCCTCTATTCTGTTGAATGAAGTTAGCTTAGGAAGATTGATTTATGTTCAATGCACGTTCCATATCATCAGAGCAAATGTTCGGGAGTGTGTTTTGCGTTGACAATGATGCATGAATGGCGAAGTAGATTTTCCTTATATACACTAAATATGGGAATGGCAGTTTCAGCAACAGTTAACAAATAACTGGACGCAAACCAATATAAGAAGCCAGTCTGAATCCATCCTTTGTTGTTTCAGAATATTCTCTGTTAGGTACTATTGAAGTATTACGTTGGTATTAGATGATGCTTATTGTGGAACGGGTCTGTTTTCTGCATTTGCCTCTGTGCAAGAAACTATAGAGAAGCTCTCTTCGGAAGAGCTGCATTGCACGTGGTTACTATTTGTGCCACCCGTGTTTGGGCTCTGCTCTTCGCTGTGCCAGTAGCCAGGATTGGTAAGGAAGCCTGCTCACACAGGGGGCACCTCAGTGAAGTACAAAGGCCTTTTTGCAAACAACAGCACGTGTATTGCCGTGGAAGAGAGACAGCTGACTCCAATACCAGTGACTGGGCTGCTTGCCAAATCTGAGGATTTGGAAGGTGAAGGAGATTGTCTTGTTACAGGATCACTGCTGCAGAGAGTAAGTTATCAGATTGACCTGGCAACACAGCAATGAAAGCATGACCAGTGAGGAGGTTTGAGTAGAGGAGTTGTCCTTCGCAAGTGCTAATCTGCATGCTTTTCCTCTGTGGCAAATACTAGTAGCCTGGCCCTTAATAAAAATGATGATATTCTGTATATATTATGGACAGTTACTTCAGGGACCAGCAAACGTGTTGGCTTGCACGAAGGAGGTACTGCACCAGAAGATGTTTCGGAAAAGATAGACTCCAGAGATGACCGTGAGCTCTATAGCTGTCAGGGTTCCTGGAAAGAATGTGAAAATGGTAGCATCAGTCTTAGCAGTTCGTGCTTATGAATGGGCTTTCTCTACTAAGTAGCTATTTGAAACCATGCCATATTCAAAATATATTTAATTTCATTGCAAGTTCATTCAACACCCGTTTCTGTTATTGGATTAGGAAAACGGAATGTGGTTTGTATTGTCAGTGGCAAACCAAAATGAATGAGCATCTTTGTTTCAGATGGGGGAGCAGCAGACGTTCTTGTATTGCCTTTTGCCTGCCACAGCAAAAAGAATGCAGGTAACGATGAAAAAATGGTTCTGCCCCTTTCTCTGGAACCGTGAGGCTCCGGATGAAACAAACCTCAGTATGAGGATTTGAAAATGAACAGTATATTCAGATGTAGGGTAGAAGTTTGGAGAGGGGAACAAAATACTTCCAAAACAATTAGGAGTGAGTTTTTCTAGATTGTATTTTATTCGTATTTTGAGGCAGCTCGGTGGATAGAAGAAATGATAGCAACTCAATTCCTCAGACATCCAACAGATATGTTCTTTCAAGCAAACATCACGTCTCCTATTCTCAGAGGTGTGTTTTCCTCTGCCTGCACCTACATTGAAAAGATTCAGAGGGGAGTGTTTCTAGGCTTATGTTTGGGCTTTTGTTGCGGTTGTGTTTGCTTTTCAAGGAGACAGGGTGGTTAAGGGTTTTCTTTAAGATTATGGAGCCTGTGAGGTTTTTAACAGGTGGGTTAGCCTAGTGCCTCAAGGAGGGTACTTCTCAGCAGTTAGGTCTGCACCGTGAAGTTACCTGAACGGTAATGCCATACACATTTCATTCACAAGTAGCTTGCCGTGAGGGTAGCTCAGTATCAGCAGGCATCTACGTACAGCACAGGAAAGCTGATTTAACCCCCTCTGCTTGATTTTACACTGCACTTCACGTTAGCAGCACAGACATCATTACAAATATTACTGTCTCTGGGAGAACAGCACAAAAGAGTTTGGGAAACCATCACTAGCAATCCGCAGTAGTATGGCATCAGTGTTAGGCTTCATGCCTGTGTTTCCATCATCTGTCTCCCTTAACATACTTGGCTACCAGGCTGCGTTTGTCGAATACAATGACTCTGTTTGCATGTGAACTGAATAAAGCACTGGAAGAAGCCCTGTCAGACTAACAAGGTGGGTTTCCAACACCAGGTTAGCCTGCACGTCAGTGCTCTGCCACAGCATCAGCCATCACTGCTGCTGGGCACGACAGATGTGTCCTGCTCCTAGGGATGGAGCCTCCCTGCACTGCCTGTGCCAGCGTTTCTCTGTTCTTGCAGTGAAAGGCTTTCCTGGTGTATAATTTCAATTTCCTTACCGTGTTTTTTGCGCAGTAGCGCTTCTCTTTTCCCTGGTGGATGACGAGGGCTGTTCATTCTCTTTGTAGCCTCTGTCACAGGTCACAGAAATGTGTATTATTAGCTGCAACTCTTTGGTATTTGTAGCGTATAAAGCAAAGTCTTGGTTTTGTTGTTGCCACAACGTTTAAATTCATGAAGCTCAAACGGAGGTATTTCGCCTCAGTGCAAAACAGTTAAAGCTGAGAAACAGAGAAGAAAGAGACTTCGATGCTTAGCTATATTCCAAAAGAACCAACTGCATGAGATAGGTAGTGTTAGTTTTTTACCTTAATTGCTATTACAGCCAAAATTGGTGATAAACTGAAACTACAGTTCATAATGATAACTTGGTGCTATGCTAGATCTGAATGCATGGAGTGAAAGCATCTCTCGTAGCATAGGTTTTAGCAGCTTTTGAATTGATGTAAAATACTGTTTAGTGACCAAAATACTATGTAGGACTGCTGAAAAGGGATCTAACTTGGGCTGTGAAGTTCTGCCAACAAAGTGTTTCACGCTTCAGTTTCTGGAATTTGCACAGGAAATTTCAGTAGGGAGCACAGACACATTTTGTTTAAATGTATGAGTTTAAAATGTAGTTAATTACACTGTTTGCATTAGGCACCTCTCTTTGTATTAGAGCTGATGTGCTAATGCTTTACAGCGTGTCAGCCAGATGTGGATGAAGGATGATAGAGGTCTTGGTCAGATGAACTCACCACGGAGCTGTGGTAGCATGACTGTGCCAACTAAGAGGCTGACTACTCATCTAAGCTAATCATCGCAGTAGTATATGTTGATTAGTAAAATAACTAATTTCTTTCCAAGGTCCTGGCAAATTTTGGTATTTTTAGCTTCCCCACCCCAGAGTTAAAGATCCTGAAACCCTTAAAATATCACTTTAGACAAAACACATCTGATGTCTTTTATGCATCTCTAATACAGTAGTCAGTCTCTAGCCTGTTTTCCTTCCTTTTCTTATAAGACAAAAAAATAAACTCTTCAAGGGAATAATGCTTCCTGTTTCACAAAAACATGCCCCAAAAAATGATTATTTGTTTACTTGTGTTTCTGTACTGGATAGATCTAATACATAGCAGTAAAGTTGCTAATCAGTTGTCATCTGTGAAATTGTAGAGCAAAGATAATTATTCATAATTTTATCTTTCTCTGCAGACCTCAACTGCTACTGTTAATATAGTGGTGACGGATGTAAATGACAATGGACCAGTTTTTGATATGTTTCTACCTAAAAACCTGTCTGTACAGGAAGAGGAAGCCAATGCTTTTGTTGGTCAAGTAAGGGTAAGTTATTAACTGCAGAGTTAAATTGTTTATTTTATTACCTAATCTGTCCAGACTATTAGGAAAGAGACTAAAATAGTTGTACCTTAGACAAACTTGCATCAAACTGTCTGAAGTTTAAACGCAAACCCTCTATCGTCAGACATATTTATGTTAAAAGTTAAAGTAATTTTCTGGGCTTTGAAATACAGAATTAATGTTCATCTTCATGCTTAATAGTTCAAAAAGGCTTTTTCATTTAAAAAAAGCTGATCAGAAGACTGGTTTAGTAGATGCACACCACTGTAAAAGCTTGCTTGTTAACTGATTTACAGTGTTACAATATTGTCGCCACATTTTTATACTGTTACTGATTTATTTTTTACCATATTTCTATAATATACTGAATAAGTTATGTGTATGTATGTAAGATTGTCCTACATAGAAAATTTCTATAGTATTAAAGAGGAAAATAGTTAATACGTTGACCGTAATAATTTATTAGGTGTCATAAAGATAGATTATGCGTTTGGGCATTGTTAATTTAAGTAATTTGAAGCTGTGTAAATTTTTACAGCATGCGTAGGTCTTCTGGACTACCAATTGCAGATTTAGTCATGTGAAACATGCAGCATCTTTTTGGCAGAGTCAGTTTTTCCTAATGGCAGGTGAAAGAAAGTATGAATTGGTGTTTTGAACTTGTAGTTGAATGTCAAGTGTTTCATATTTCCCTCAGTGAGGGGTTAGCATAAAGGCTGGATTAATATGAGCTGTAAGCGCTAGATGAATTTGGAAGCAAAGTTTTTCAGGGATTTTGGCACAAGCATCTGCCTTTCTTCCCAGTAGCAACTGTGTCATTAGAAAACAGGAGCTGTTTTAAGAATACCTCAACTGCTGTCTCAACAATACCGTCAGACGGGAGAAGACATTTCGGGTAGCATTGAAAGAGGCAAAGGCATATAACCATAATAACCACGTTTCTTTCCAAATGTACATTATTCAGTAAGATATCCAGAAGTGTTTCTCACGTGTCATGCTGCTTGTTAATTTTGTATTTTTCGAGTGAACTTGACTTCACTTGTTTCCTGGTATTTCTAAGTTGAAAAAGTGCTTCTTTGGGATGGGTTTGCTTTTCCTTCCACTTTTGTTACTTATTCATGAAGTTTGATTTCATTCAAGTTATATTTTACTGTTTTAGGCTCCTTCAATATAGTTTCACTTGTACTTACACGGAGGAGGTTCTACTTGTCTGTGCTCTGCTTGCTGTGTGAGCTGGTACCATTAAAGTAAATGTGAAGCTGTCCAAGCTCACGTGTAATTTTAAAGAGAAGGAACTTTCCTCAACTCTGATGAGCACTAGAGATTTCCTACTTTTGTTAAGCTGAACTGAAATATCAGTCCTGTCAAAGACTGCTTTGAATTCTTGCATGTGTAGAAATTAAGATCCCTGTGCTTAAATCTGTTTCCATAAATGTATTTTTGTCATTGTTCATCTTATGTATTCATTTATCATTTATCCTAAAACATATGGACTCAGTGTTTTAAATCAGTACCAAATATCTTCAAAATCCACGTTGTGTTTTTCTGGGTGCCCTCAAGGTACAATAATCTTTAAAAACGCTGTATCGGCTTTATTTTAGTTTAGATGGAATTATAAAAGAAAATATGCCATTGCAACAGAACCTCTCTCTAACAAATTAGCATAATTTCTAAGTTGTGTTGAAATGAAAATATTTATTGAAACCTTTTGATAGCTTATTCCTTCTTGTGGAATGAAAGAAACTCTCTATATCATTTATTCTCATGTTTATCACCAGTCAGCCTCTGGATGGAAAAAGCTTTTTCTTTGTGCTGCAGATACAGATGGGATGTAGATTGTAATGTTTCATATTCATGCAAATAGTATAGAATGAAGCAGTTTGGGTATTTGGAATTATTTTCTGGACTCAGTGAAATTACTGAAGTGAGGATGATTAGCCTTCAGACGTAGCTGTGTTGTTTAGGGAGAGTCTTCTTTAAACAACAAAGCAGCTTTTGTTACCGTTGTTGTCCTTCATCGGACATTAGAACCACAGTAGATGTGGGAGAAGTTTCTATGGAAATGTGTTTTGTACAGAAGCTGTAATGTGGTTAAAATATAAAGGCCTATTTTAAATGAAAAGGGCTTGGTAAAAGAAAGTAGTACTTACTATCTCTTGTGTTTTCAATGCTAAGAATTAAGCTGCTGACTGACAAGCCTTCTTTTCAGAATCTCTTCTACCATATTCATTTCAAACAGCTGAAATCCACCGTAGTAAGCACTGATACAGATTAAATAAAAAATAAACAGGTTTTGTGGGGTTTCTTACCCTTTTGAATATTTACTTCCCATTTTACACAAGGAAAACCACGGCAAGATATTTTTGGCTTAAGATCAAAGGTGTGGGCCCCACTGCTCATTGGGGCAGAGGACCTAGTGGTGAGGGTTACGGAAAAGGTGCTCCACAGCTTTGGTGCCTTAGGCTTTTTACTGGTAAGCTATGGGGACTCTCAGCTGCCTGAGCCCAGTGTCAGTCTGGAGGAGGAAAGGATTACCTTCATCCTAGACGATGATGAAGTTACGGGCTGCATAGGAAAATAAGTCAGGCATAATGGGAGCAGATGAGATGCATCCAGAGGTGCTCATGTCAACTGGTACTGCTGCAGGGGTGCTTATTTGTCATTTTTAAAAGGTGCCCAGGAGTGTGGTTCCTTACAACTGGGAAAAAAGCAAACATCACACTCATCTTTGGGGATGACAGGAAGGAGGATTCAGGTAGCTCCAAGCTGGTGAGCCTGGCACAGGTCTCCAGGAAGATAGCAGAGCCTGCTATTTCCAAGCAAATAGACAATAAGAAGGTGAATGGGAACAGCCAGAATGGATTATGGATGGGCAAATCATACTTGATGAACTGGTAACTTTGGGATGGAATCACTGGCTCTGTGGATGCTGGGGCGCCAGTGCAAGTTGCTTACCTTGGCTTTACCAAGTATTGTAGTACCTTTATAATCGTATTAGCAAGGTAAGGACCAGATTAGTGGACTGCAGTGTTGGGCAGTGCAGAAGCTGCAGGGGATCAGGGAACAGTGCAATCCAGAACATATTTTCTAGTAAAATCCATTATTTTCTTCTTAGAAGGTTCCCAGAAATCTATTTATTTTTATTTTTTTCAGACTGATTATTAGCAGCAGCTACTGTTACTTTTTTTTTAATTGCCAGTTGACATGACTATAATGTAGGTAAATTTGGGGGTATATTCTACGATGTCAATTACAAGAAAGGTAGAAGTGTAACAAATTTATCAGCATCTATTATTAAAATGTTAGAAATAGTCTGTATAACATGTGAAAAGCTGTTGTAATTTCTTTTTCCAATTCTGGATTTTCTGTATTAGACTTTCTCTCTATCCTCTCCCAAGGTTGCAAAATTTTGTCTCTTATCTGCTCAGCCGTTCCTTAAAAAAAAAAAAAAAAAAAGAAAAAAGTAATGTATGACATTTATACCCTCCTTTTGTCCTCTTTCCCATGATACAGGTAAGTATGTAAGTGACTTAGGACACAACGATTAAGTCGAATGCTCCCATATATGATTCCTGCTGCAGACGATAGAATTCTGTGCATTCTGTGCTCTAAGTTGTTTTAAGTGGGAAAGCTGGACTTGAAAAGGGATTCCCATAAGGGCTTAGGTAATACTTGGGAATTTGTTTCCCTGAGGGAGATAGAACAAAGGCGATGAAAAGATTTTTGGTGGTAGAGGGGAAGGCTCCTTAGGTGCTGGAGGCAGTATTAACACTGAAGTGCTCTCGCGCTCTGCCGCTCTGTGGCTCTTTGTGTGCCAGCTGAAGTCCGTGGAGGCGCTGGCACAGGAGTGCTGCCTGTGGGGATTTGAAGAGCACACTGAAGATTAAAAGAACAAAAGCTAGAAAGGATAAGGCTGACAGTGCGGTGGATGTATTTCAAATCCCTTTTATTTTATACAGTGTTGTCTAAATGAGAGCAGTCAGAGGTTTATTAGATTCCCTACAGTTCTTTCATGTCTGATCATTGGGATCTCCCAACAAGACAGGAGAAGAATTGCTGAATGAAGTTCTCTACAGAGGACCAACAGGAAACCAAAAGCTTCACACCAGAAGCTTAAAAATTCAGGCACCTTATCATCTGTTGCAGTTGGAAATAGCTTGAGGTCCTGCAGGAGATCCAGCGTCTGAATGATTGGCATTATGCAGTGTACTGTTTGTCCGTACCACATCAGGTGCATGGGAGGTGGAAAAGTGGAATGAAATATAGGTGAGAATCAGTGTATTGGCTGCAAAATGTGCAAACACATTTGCATTCTTGTTAAGTGAAAGGCAGTTCTGCAGAGTTTGTTACAGAACTTTAAAATGCAGTCTGTGGTTAAATAACAAGCTGTTGGGGCCTATAAGGCCTGGTGGGACACTTTCTTTCAGTGGTATGGAAGTGTTTTAAATGCGTTGTTTAAAGAAGCAGCTATCATTTTTGAATGCTAATGGAATTTAATTATGATGCCAGTTTCCTACCAGAGTTTTCTGTCTGTGAATATTAGTGAATTCTGACAGATTTCTATTTTTACTTAAATTCACAAGGTTGTAAAACCTGCAAGTCTCATGATTTAAAGCCCAGTTTAAATTTCACAGATGTCAGTAAGGTTTATTTTGTTGGACTAAATGACCTCTGGAGATCCCTTACATCTAAACTGTCCTGTGTCTGTGGATATAGGAAAACTGCTTCAAATGCCAATGAAGTATTACACTACAAGATCTTGTTGTAAAAAGCACAGAAAAAGATCTCATTTTACGTAAACCAGCATTATCATTGCTTCTGCACAAAAGCTCATAGAACAGGGTATGACTTTCTACGTTGTCGTATATATAAACTGCACTGTAGATAACGCCACACCTGTATAATAAGTACCAGCTTCTGAAATTAAAATCTCAGGGCTCCTGTACTTTTAGAAAAGTGCAGAAAAATTAGAGGTGGAGAAA